GTGGGGCTTAGTGCTTTTTTTCTTTCCTTTTTTTTTTTTTTTTCTTTTGCGGTAAAACGAGACTAGGAGTAGTTAGAGCGTTGGTGAGAATTGGTGGGTAGTCGTGTCGGTGTGTCCCCTCCGGTTCCCCGGGGCTGTGGCCCAGGGCGGCATTTCTCGAAGAAGAGGTGTGAAAGGTCAGCAAGGGGAAGGGAGGCACTGGCAGTGCCAGTGCTGGATGAGCTCCCGTGGACGGAGGGGTGCCCTCAAGCTGCTTTCCAGAGAAGTGGCAGCCACAGGTGCATCCCTCTGCTCTGCTGTGGAGCCACCTGAGGCCTCTAGGATGATGTAGGAGATGGGGATAAATCCGTAGTTTTTAGAACAGAATGGGAGGGGATGGGAATATGGTGACCTGTGTCCTTCAGGGCACACGGAAACCAAGTTTGGAAGCGGCTCTCTCCGTCCAGGTTTCACTGGCTTTTCTCCGGATTTCACTTGTAATCAGCTATTCCTTCAGTGGTCTGTGGAGTGTTATCGTTTTAATGTTGGGTTTTGAAAGGTTAATCTATGTGAAATTGTCCTAGGTATATTATCGTTGAACTGTCAGATTTGAGGTATGAGTTCAGCCGTGAAAACGATTTGATTTAGTGTACAAAACTGAAAAGTTTGGTTTTGTTTTTTGTCTTTTTAGATATACAAGTTATTTAAACTAGGTATTTCTAACATGGCTTTGGTGGGAGGAGGCGAGGGGAATAGCCGTCTTCCATAAGAATTAATTCTGCAACTTTGCACAATAGCAGAGTCAGTCGCAGTGGAGGGAAGACTGCCGTAGTAAGGCCTAATTTTATTGAAAACTAATATGTGCTATAGAATTCATGTGTTTTCATAAAATTGCACAGACAAATGTGGCAACAGGTAAACTGCAAAACGTGAAGTCATTGTTGGTCTCTGCATGATTTGCAAAAGTTATTACCTCTGTGTCATTAACGTGGAGCAAGGAGGTTTTCTTCGGCAAGAGTCAGGGAAGTCCCTTCAGAAAGAGAAGCCTGAGCCTGGTTCTGGGGTTGAGCATATTTTTTTCTGAGTCAGAGTCCAGTCAGTCCAATCACAGTCCAGATCTGCATCTTATTTGTTGTAAGTTGACATGTAGTAACTGAACAGTCTCATGGACTAAACTGGTCAAAATATTTTTTCTTAAGAAAACTTAAACCGAATAAAACTTCAAAAACATTAAAGCATAGTGCAAGTGAGTGAGTGTAAATTTCACAAAGAAACTTTGTTGTTGTTGAAAAATTTGATGGAAGGTATTTGGCCAGCAATAGTTATAGAATGTTTCCTTCCCCCTCCCCCAGGGCCCCGGTCCTGCTATCATTAAGTATGCTTTCCATTGTTCATTAGAAACAGCATATAATACAATGTCAACAATTTGAATTGGATCCAGATTATTATTACTTTTTTTTTAAACTGTTTAGCAATTTAGTTGTTAAATAAAGCCAGTATGTTCAAGGTACTCAGTATCCAAGTTTGTAGGGGGCTAGTGACAACATCCCAACTACAGTTGATGTTTTTTCCCCATAACACACCTTATATGAGGATTGGAAATACAAAAAAACCTTTTCACTTAGTGTCCTGATAGCAAATGTGCTGAGGGCGGGGTGGAAGAGTCTTGTGTCTTGTCTCGTTTGTAGATCTATGGATGATTGCAG